TGATTCTTTAGAGTTACTGGAGCTTCCCTTAGCGTGTATTACCCGGGGTATTTTTCTGAATGGCTTGCATTTGCTTGGAAATAACGTATATCCTCTACTGGTTGGATATACGGCTCTATGTGTGACCATGAGACCGGGCTGATTAATTCTGATTCAAATTGTACCTGACTTCTCTCTTCTCCGTGTTCTTGAGAGTTTCATCTTCTGTAAATAAAGGTCATACTGTCATGTGCACATGGGGTGTGAGCAGCGTATCTTCTTGACCTCCCATTCTCTTTCCACAGTGAGACATTTTCTTTGGACTCTTTCCATAGTTTCTATGTCAGATTCTGCTCTGACTTGTATTAACTGCCATTCTAGCTTTCCTCTGTTTATATTTCTTTTATCCTTTGATTTTCAACTAATTATATGTTCTGTTTTAAAGATGTGTCATAGAGAGTGCTGTATCATGATGATTTTTGTCCTCTGAGGAATGAATTCAACTCATTTACAGTCAGGTAACCAATTTTATCTCAAAACTCCTTTCAGCAATCTTATTTCATATTTTCTACTTGCTACTCTTTTCTACCATCTTTTGGTGATGAGAAACATTTCTTCCCTCATGTGAAAATTACATATTCTATCTTCATCCTTTTGGTGGCCATCTCCAGCAGGCTAAGAAGACTGGGTTTTATGATCAATAATTTAGCTCTCTTTGGTGTCTCAGTTTCCTCTTGTTCTTTCCAACACTATCCCTCAGGGAGAAGGTCTTGACCAGCTCCCAGCTCTCTGATTTGTTCCTGGTTATATTCATCATGCTACTTCTCAGCCTATCTCTTAACCACACTTGGTGTTTTCACACTCTGTAAATCTGGCCGGTTGCTCCTCCTTTCAGCCCATTTGTTCTTCCTGCTTCTAACATTCTCCTGGGCAATTTTTTGCAAGGGAGAAGTGGGACACCTGTTTCCCTTTATCTTCCCCTGTCCTTCCTGGGCCCACACACAGCAAAGCAATGGCATCATCCAGGGCACTGGGAGAAGAGCCAAGTACACAAGCAGGAAGCCCCACCTGGCCTACCGTAGCTGTGCTCTGAGGGCCTTACTTGTGCCAGTGTTTACCTGCCTGCACCCCACCCTCAGGGAGAACCTACAAGAAGAATCTATTTCTCCTTTTCTCCTGTGTGGAGTCACCCTAGAACCCATCAGCACTGATGGAGTAGGGGCCTTAGTGAAGGGAACTGTCAGCCAGGGCATTCTGGGTGTGTTCATTCTCTTTCATGCTGGCAGTAATCAGATTTTTTTTTTTTTTTTGAGACAGGGTCTCACTATGTAGTTGAGACTGACCAGGAACTCACCATGTAGCCCAGGCTGGTCTCAAAGTCACAGCGATTCTCCTGCCTCAGCCTCCAGAGTGCTGGGATTACAGGCGTGCGCCACCACACCCAGGCGTAATCAGATTTTTATATGTCAACTTTTTAAAAAGGAGCTCTATCTTAATACATGATCATGTTCATCTTAACCGAGTATGCATAAAGAGCCTGGGGCAGCGATAGCACATTGTCTAGTTTGGGGAGAAAAAAATACTGTCCTCAGGGTAGGAATATAACAAATTACATAACCTGGAAGCTGCAGCGGGGTTTGCACAAAAGTAAATGATGGCTGAGTCCCTAGGTGAAGGTCTCAAGATGAAAAAGTCATTTCTCCACAAATAGATTACAAATCCAACTCCTCTTCTACTGAGGTCTGAGTCACAAAGGGTGGCATGCTCCAGGCAGGAGCAACAGCAGGCTTCTCACTTTTGCAAAACACCAGGGACAAAGACAGTAGCCTCCATTTTTTTTTTAAGGAGGCTCAATAAGATCATAACACATAAAGTATTGAACAAATGAGCAGGAAGCTTGATCTCTAGCAAAGAACATGGATTCCAAAAGACTCCTCAGGAAGCAAATAGTTAAATCTTATCAACAAAAACTGCAAGAACTTGTATTTCCAAAGGTAACTGTTGCTGATTCTTGGCTGAATCATCAAGAAAAAAACAAACCAAATGTCACATCAGGATCTGAAACGAGACAAGCATCACACCCTACTCAGCCTGGCCAGATAAAATGACACAGGATGAGCTTCACATCCCACCTGTGCGTTAGGACCTGTGCGCACCTGCCATTTCTCTGGGTAAATGTAACAGCAAAACCTTCATGCTTTCAAATATACACTAACACTGTGCTATTAACATTTAAACTGCCCAACATTCCTCAGCTTAACTGAAAGAAAGGAAATAAGTTTCTTGACCTCTATTCAATCTAAAGTAATGTCTATCATTTTCATTAATAGACAACATGAGTGCATGCTACACAATGCAACAGGCATCAATCTACTTTATAGCAAATCTCACAGTAAATAAAGTACCACTGAGTTATACTTTTCAGTAGTACACAGATATGCCCATAATAAATTTAAAATGGTATTATAGTACTCAATCAAAGAAATAGAAACAGCCAAAGAAGAAAATATAATTTGGATTTTTATACTATGCTAATATATGTGTTCAGTAAGGTAATTACTTACATAGAGACTAATGTAATTGTTCATTTCAGAATTGTTGAAATCAGTTTCTGAAAGTAAAACTGAGGCAAAAATAGAACAAAAAAATGAGAGCACTGTCTTCCAACAACTACTTCATCATTAAACAAAATTCATCAATACATGTGCCACCAGCCACACATACATATTCTGTATACATAAAGCAAAGTTGTATTGTTTACAAAGCACAAAACATTCTGCAGGTACCATGTCTTCCATAATTAATCAATGAGTTTGCACTGTCCTTCAAGAAAGTGTTGCGGGGGAGGCACTTCCTCTGCATTATCTCCTCTGACTCAGTCACTGTCCAGTACATAGGAGTCACTGTATATAGCTAGTACCTGCTTCCGCTTCTGGAGCAAGAACTAGCAAATCACAGCCCATAGGCCAAACCTGGGCTACTGACCCAGTGTCACACATTTTATTCAGCGTTTGCTCATATACTGTCTTGGAATATTCCAGCATTCTTGGCTTTGCATGAAGTACCCATTTAGAAAGACAAACTTTCAGGCCATCTCATCTACTCAGCTAGAAGATGAGATCCAAAGCAACCTGCTGCAGGGCATGCCCTGTGGTGCTCATGGGGGGCTCACTCAGTAGCAGCCAGAACCAAGGCTTTCCATGTGGGGACGATTCATGGGGACTCACTCATAAACCAACCAGTGACCAAACACACACCACTGGTGGGTAAAAGGAACAAGGCCCAGAAACTGATGAATGCAGGGACCTCCAACAACACAGAAAGGAGTAAGAGCCGAGAGTGGCGCAGAAGCAGTATGGCTTCCAGCAAGGCTGTTTTCCCTGTATCTCCCCCTCACCCCGCTGAGGTGAGTTCTCCCCTGGTGCTGCTGGCAGGAGTCCCCTAGGCCTGACAGCTTCTACCTTTCTCACTTCTGGGTGCCTTCACTTCGGCCATGTTTTGTTTCTCTCAGGAGAAACCTGCAGACTGGTGCCCCATTTTCTTCCCCGTGTCCCCTTCTTCCTTGCTGGCCTGCTGTCCCCATGCGCCCCCTGGTGAGGGCCTCTACCTCACTCTCTGTCTCAGTGGCCTCTTCCTGCTAGGATCTCACATGCAGAATTTTTTGCTTCAAACACCTCTATTTCTACATGTCCTTTATAAATACTATTTCTTATACTTCTGGTTACTAGTAACCTTCATTTTCTCTTCGATTATGTAAATTATGCCTATTTTTATAGTAATGCTACCTCATGCGATCATTCCCATGTGTGGTGTCTATGCTCCTTAAGTATCTAGTTTGCCATAAGAGGCTGTGCCATGTGAAGACTTGTCCTGGCCAGATCCAGGTTATGCTGGCAGGTGTGGGAGGAAAATCCTGGGCAGCAGAGACACAGCTAGACCTGCTGTGGTCCACTCCAGGCAGCCCCTCTCCACCTTGTCGCTAACTTCTTGAAGATAAACACTGGAAGTGTACCTGCCTGCTGCCAAAACTGGGGCTTGGGAGGGGAGGACGACAGGTGGCAGGGGCTATGGTTCACCAGCCCCACTAATATGACCTCCTGCCCAGGGCTTAGCTGCAGAGGCAAAGCAAGAAAGCCACATTCCTCGACCCAGCAGCTGAGCAATCTGCTGCCACCCCTGTCCTAGGCTTGATGACCTGGGGGGGGGTCTCCTCAGGTTAATCCCTTTGTTGTTATCATTAGCTCCCAGGTTACACTTCTCCGTAGCTGCTCCAGGGTGTGGAGATGAGACCAGGAGACTGAGTCTGTGCTGCTAGGCTGTGGGACAGAACCTAAGAAAGACATCCCACTGAGAGTCTGTGTACAACACTGCTGTGTGGCTCTCATTGACCCCATTAGAGAGAATCTATCAACTGGCTGGGGGCCAACTACTGCAAGCTCCTCATCAACACATAAAATGGAAAAGAAGATACTAAAGAGTGGCAGGGTGGCCCGGGAGGAAGCTGGATTTGCAAGAGGTACACATACACCCCATACGTAGCAAGGGCTGCCAGTGATGTGGGTCTTAAAGGCGGGCTCTCTGGTCTGGGTACCCACCCACATTTCCTCAGCAATTCCTCAGTGCTCAGCTCTATGGTGGTAGGAAACAAAGCGTGACTTTTTTAGTACTAAGAATAAATTGAAACATTATACTTTCAACAAAGAATGAAACAACATTTTTCATAATAGCCCTACCCACGGAACTGAGTTATCAGCAGGATCAGTCTTAGTACGACTAAACAATGCCTCCACAATTACCAAAGACCTGCACAGGGTGTTCCTAGAAATCACAAAGCAGGAAACAGCATTAGACCTAACTGAGGAAGAAGATGAACCTTTCGTTCTCAGGTAAGTCCAAGTATCCACCTAGAGGCCTGACATCAAGCAAAGACAAGGCATGTCCCCACTGTAGCCTGGGCTCAGAAAACTCAGGCAGCCACCTTAGACCCTGGTATTCAGATCCCAAGCCAGCAGGGCACTCACCACCGCAGGGCGATCTTGATGGGGGTGGTGAGACAGGATGTGAACAGATCGGCTGGGAGGTCGGGGATCATGGGCAGGAGCTCGTTGGCCTCACAGGCCGCCAGCTGGATGCAGTTCTTCATCGACGGGGGCAAGGGCATCTGGGCAAGTGGGTGGTTTGGGTTGATTGCTGCAACCTATGGGGAGAACACAGGAAGACACTAGCTTAGCTGACACAGCTGGAGGGGAAGCCAGACTGGAATGAGAAGGAAAGGAGGAATCAATTAAGGCCTCAAGCTGTGAGTTTTCACCACCAAGCCCTTCTGGGGAAGGCTGACGGTTGATGACAAAGCCTGAAAACTCATCTGCATCACTCCCAAGTCCTCTACAGCAAATGTGGCTATGCCTTTGACGACTGGGTTTCTTTTACGTCCTGCATATATGCCACCCGGTCATTTGTGGTATCTTATTATCGTTCTTAAACAATCGTTAATCCATCATGACCTTACTCTGGTGTCCTTAATGTTCAGGCTATGCACAGCCCACCCCAAGAGAAATGCAGAAGACTGTGGATGGGAAGGGAGCATGCATTAGCCCACTGTATTGAGACAGACTGAGTGGTAGAGGCAGATGGGTGGTTCAAAGTGATTTTTAAAAATTTTTTTGCCTATCTTTGCCACATTTCTCAAAATGTTCTACAAACAGATGTGCATATATTTTGTAATCAGGGAGAAAGTATTTTTTAAAATTCAAAATGTAATCTCCATTTAAAGAAAGTAGTAGTAACACCTGCTTGATTTTTACTTTGATCATGAGGCAAAGATCCCAGAGGCGAGGCTGATACCACACTGCGGTGGTAAGATGACAGTCTCCAAGACAATTACTGTATACTATGAGAATGCAGGCCAGGGATGTAGCTCAGTGGCACCGTGCCTGCGTGGCACGTGCAAGATCCTGAGTTCAATCCCTGGTACTGAGGGAAAAAAAAAAAAATGCAGGCAAAATTTACTTCTGACTTAATGAAATCTAATTGAAAGTGTGCATTTTATAAACTATGAAATGCAGCCAAATGTTAAAAAATTATAGGACTGATTGATCTGGATTTACCACATGGTCACAGAAAATTAAGGATTCTCAGAGCACTAGCAAAGAACAGTATTCAACTGAACTTGGAACCCTGTAACTACAAACACAAGAGTTCTAGCACATATATTTTGCTTCTCTTCTCTGCTTTAAACAGTACATGCATGTGACAAGATTTAAGTCCACCACAGGTTTTGCTGTCATTTTTAGAATAATAAGGTTCACAAGCGTGCACAGCATTTGAGACAGTAAAATTTAGTAAGTTTAATGCATGAGGGATTGTGCACACCCACGGCACTGCCTGCTCTTGGAAATAATGGCAAAGAACAATGTCAGGACCATTTCACCAAAGGGAGTGCTTCAGCTCAGGAGAGCAGCAATGCACAGCAGCTCGCCTCGGGATGCTGTGATGACTCGGAAGAGTGGGAGGCTCCCGGTGCCCAGGGAGAGAGTGGGCTCCCAAAGCCCCTCAGCAGTACTGCCAGGACCAACTAGATGGGGGACAACTATAGGGTTGAAGCAGTGAAGGAAAAAAAGCCCTGAAGAATGTTCAGGTTGCTAAAGAAGCACTTACATTTTTCTCTGTTGGCCTGGGTTATAGGGTCTGAGCATAATATTTAGGTAACTAAAATTTAAAAAACATAAAACTCAGAAATTACAGGCTATACAGGTACACACAACTTTTAAGAATGTCTTCCCTCACTGGCCTGGGAATACCAATTATTTGCCATGATGAAAACTATCTAGCACAAGCCCAAATTTAATCCAGCCCACTTTGGTTAGGGATATGACCTAACACAGCTCCACCTGGAACCTGCTAAAATGAAGTTGAAAGCCAAAAAGAACTGCCTTCTCACGTACTGTTATTCATTTACCAAGCCGTTGAACAACAGAGATCTGGAGAAAAATGTTACGGAATGCTGATCATTCTGCCTCTAGGGGTTTTTTAAGTTATTTGTTACTTAAGCCATTTCTTGGGTTTATTTCATAAACACCACAGGGGCACAATGGTGTTTCTTTTTACTCAGACAACAGCAGACCTCTGAGAAGGAAAGGTGCTGCACATCTGCAACCACGAGGAGTGCTAGGGAAGGTGGAATGAATCCGGAGACATCACTTTCACCACAGACGGCCACTAATGTTTTGTGACTTGTACGTTTACGCATCACCATTTCTGCTCCTTACTAAGAATTCCGTCTAGTTGCCCAATTCTTAACATTTCTCAAAGCTCTTTCATGTGTATCGTTTCATTTGCTTTTTACAACATACTGATGAGGTGACTTTCATCTCTATTTTCAAAGATCTTCAGTAACAAGGAAACAGAGGCCTCAAGTAGAGAGTAGCAGCTGCCACGTCAGGACAAGGCTGGAGCATCAGTAAGCTGCTGCTGGTTTTAGGGCCGTCTTCATGCTAATCTCTGCCAGGCATCTGTAATTCCAAAGTTCCACACAGCATGCTCGGTATCTTTTAAATCAAATACACAGAAAGCTATATTGTTTCCTAGGGACCAGCCTAGTGATGATGACACAGAATGTGTTACTGTACATCCGTAAACTCTATCTTAACATTTTGAATTTCTCAAACGCAAGGTACTAAAGGCTGTCTGATATAGGAACATTAAACCCAAAGTACAAGTCAAATATTTGTATGCACAATAATAAAATGATACAAACCTTTTAATTAAAAACAGCAATTTCTATAAGAATGGGTGCTTTTATTATAGTGAATTATATGTAGCACACAATTTGCTATGTTACTATTGATTGATTGATTGATTGCAGTGTCGGGGAATCAAACCCAGGAACAGGCAAGTATTCTATCAATGAGCTACACTCTCAGCCCTGTGCTATTTTAGATGTATAGTTCAGAGTCCAATAGCACTGATTACAGCCAGACTCGTAACCACCACCAACGTACGGGCTTTTTAAAAGGAGAGACAAAAGAGAAGTCAAAATCATGTTTTAATAATTTCCTGGACTCTGGCTGTATAAGCTAACAGCTAAGCAACAGCTCCGCACAGGAAATTAGTTTCCAGGTCTGCAGCATCGACCCCCTACGCCAGATGACGGGTCTGGGCATGCTCAAGTCTGCAGCTCATCAGCTGTGAGTCACGCAGGGGCCAGGCAGGGTATCTGGGAGCTGCAGAGCATCTGAGCACAGCACAGGCCCCACAACCTGGCACTGTCAGGGCAGAAGTGTCCTCTGATATCTGGGCTGGCAGGAAAATGGCTGGGCGCACCTCAGCAGAATGAAGCAGACTCCTGAAGTGCGAGACACAGTCTTGGCGATATCTGTCTGGAGCTGCCAGGAGACTGACACTATTTTAATAAGCACCACTAACTACCACTGGGCATGGAAGTATAAGGATGGCTGACAGGTGATTAAAAAGGAGACGACTCTAAGTAGAAAGAAATGTCCATTTATTCCAAAACTAGATTCACATTCTGATTTTTCCCATCCAACAGGACATACATTTTCACAGGAGAAATTGGTATGACTTACTAGCTTTAACTTTTCTTCTCATACTTTCTTTCCATGTTGTTTATTTTCTAAATAGGGCTGAGAACTGAACAACAGGTCCTCTTACCATGACCTCTAAACACTGTAATATTTCCACTTTTGCTATTTGTACCAGGCTGCTGAAATCTAATCCCTCTTAAGAAATGAAAGACATCCTCCATGAGAGCCCTGCCAAAGTGAGATGCAGGCCTGAGTCCTGAGCTCACTCCTTAACTCTCGGCCCCATTCCACAACTCATTCTCTACACGATTACTCTCAGTCACTGCAGGACGCGGGAGCACATGCTGACTTTCTCTCTTGCCAGGTTCTGCACCCCCTATCCCCTTCTCCCTTTATCCCTGGCCAGCAGTTCTTGCTCACAACCCTTAAAAAGGCCACTCTTCAACCAACACAGGAAAGACCTGTGGCCCTCCTTATCACTCCTATTCTGGCTGCCCTTTTCACCCTTCCCTTATTAATATTTTAAAACCCAAGGGTGTCAGGCTGTTGTGCATCTTCTCCCCACAGATTTCTCTCAGAAAGCTATTCATTAAGACTCTCTTGCTCCATGAATTTACTTGCTTTACCCTCTCCCTCACTCAAGAATTAACATCCTTTCCCTTAACCTCAACTTCATTCCCAAAAATAATCACTGACCTCTGGCTCCAGGACATCTTGAGTTCACTCCAATCTAAATCAGCTTCTTCACCTTCTGCCTCTGCTTTCTATTAATCCATCCAGTACATTACCCATAATAAACAATGATCTTCTCTGGCCGTTCAGTTAATTCCACTCCTGACAGGAGTCACAACAGCCATCACTGTTGGCACTGTCCCAGGCCAGTCTCCACCATTTCTCAGCTCTCCCTCAAACAAATACCCAAAAGACTCTCCAACCTTCAAGATCAAATTAACCCCCTAACAACAATGCCTCCAAAACCAAAGTGACCTTGTCAGACTCAGCCCCAGCCCCTGCCCAATGACTGCCCACGCTGACAACCTCAGTTCCTCACCAAGAACAAACAAAATTCACTGCTCTGGCACCAAGTCAAAATTATCTCCTACTGCCTGGAACTCAACCCACCCTTGATCACCCTGTCATCTGCCTGACCTAAATTCCCCTTCCCTTACCCATTTCTCTACCTCTCTAAGCAGGTACCTACTGAACTTACTAACCTGCAAGACCAATCACTTGCTGGCTGCTGTTGTGCTGCAAAACAGATGAGGCCTAGACCTGCTCACCACAAAGAGGTAGACTTTGTGCCTTTCTCCAGAGAACCTACTATCTCTTCACCAGCAAGACCCGACTCAGACAGTATTAAAAGGCTGCAGGATCAAGCCACTGCCCACAAAATCAGGCCTCGTCCCAGGCCCCTCCTGGCTGGTTGAGCATTTCCTGGAGCTCCTTGGGCTCATTGTTTCAATACTCCTTCTAATCAGATTTGCCTCCTGTCTCTTGCAGACCCTGGCTAGCTCTGTTCAGAGACAGATGCCTTGCTTATTTCTCAAGTGACCCCTTCGCTGCTTCTCACCAGTCGTGCCTACTGGCTCCACAACTTGCCCCTGCTCAGGGCGAAGCAGGTCAATGAGGACTCACATCTCCAAACCAGATCCCT